TATATATATATACTGTATACACTGTATAAAACTAATGGGCTTTTCGTGGTTCTGGAAGTTCTTTGGGCAGGTTCAGAGGTCTTTAGTGAAGTATTTATTTATTAAACTGAGTCATGGCTCAAGTTTATGTTTAAATACCCGCTTACTTTCTTTACATACTTCTCTGTGTTTTAGTTTCTTTCAGCCCAAAAGCACCGTTCAGGACTGTAAACCGGTTGAGTTTCATAAACTTGGTGACAGCAGAGCATACCTCAGTGTCTTTAGTTCTGTTAGAGCATACACAGTACTACTGCAAACATCAGTAACAGTTAAATAATTATACACATCTCCACCAAGACCCAAGGTTATCCAAATAGGAGGTTGCAGCTGCTGAACTGTGATTGGCTGAACAAATTTCTGCTGCATGCTTATTGGCTGTTGCGGTATGACATCATCACTAAAAAGCAGCCTCTCACACGTCCTCTGGTGTTTTTTGTTTGTTCTCTCCCTGTTTGCGACAGATCACTGCAGCTCTGGCACATATCAGATCACCAAAATCCAATCAGTTGTTCTTTGTGACTACCCCAACAATTTACTTTACCCATTAACCCAACATGTCCTGAAAATGTCTGTCAAATCTGTCCATAAAGTTTTTATTCTTGTTCACAGACTGACAAACACAAAAACTAACTAATGCTGCTGAAAACAGAACCTTGTTGGTGAATGGAATAACAGAAAGAGCAGATGGCAGCACAGGTTGTGTTCATTTAAGATGGAGATTATTACAGATTTTTACCTCAGAATGTTCAGTTTAGAGTCTGATGATGTCAYACACTGACTGACAGAATTCACATTTTACAAACTCCTATTCTGACAGTCTTTACACCAAAACTTTTTTATTTTTGTCTTCTTTCACACAGTGTCTCTCTTAATGCAATAGAACTGGATTTGTTTTTCTCTCAAATCACACAGAGGTCAGAGGTCACACATCCAAACTCATTGACTTCCACTGTATCTGAGCTCAGATATTTTGTTTCTAAACCAGAATTGATTGCTGTTTTTACCACAGCTGTAAGTAACATGGACTGTACAACAGATTGTTTTTAGACTCCTGCAGACTTGATGGGCTTTTATTTTGGAGGAAGAATGAAAACAGGAACTGTTTCTCTGGCTGTGATTTTTCTGAACAGAACAGGAAATGAACTGTGATTGTGGTTGAGCCTGAAGTCAGAGACAGGCAGCTGGAGGTGTATGCTTGTACTCTGGTTTCTGACTGGTTGTGTGACGTGTCTCTGCAGGTACCTCTACTCTGACAGTCTAAAAGTTTTTGGCCCTCTCATCATGGGGATTGGGATCTTCCTGTTTATCTGCGCCAACGCTGTGCTGCATGAGAACCGTGACAAGAAGACAAAAGTCATTAACTTAAGGGACATATACTCCACCGTCATAGACGTCCACAGCACACAAAAGCCACACCCTCCCTCCCCTGGCTCCACCCATCCTCCTTCAGCAAATCCCCTGAATGGGCTTGTTAACTATGTCCAATCACAGGGCCTGGACTCAAAGGCCCAAACAAGGCCCACGTCCCTGCTGTTGCCAAGTCAAGCTGCCGATAAGAGCGGGAGCAGTGACAGAGCTGCAGCCGTCTTCAGTATCTACCAGAGCCACCCAGATGCTCTGTCTCAATCTTCTCCCAACAGACACTCTCTACCACAAACATGCAGTCCCTGCTGGTCCTCCCAACACAAGGAGGTGCTCACTTCCTTCACACTACCTCGGTCCAGCCAGCGGTCCCCTGGTCCCCGCAGGAGACACTCATTCTGGGCTGGAAGCAGCCGGGAGGATGAGGAGCAGAGGAAGGAAGTGGAACCACCTCCACTCTGCACTTCTTCCTGCCCCACAAACAGAGGCTCCAAGGCACTGCTCCTCCAGTCATCCTCCTCCTTGTCCTCCCTTTCATACCTCCTTTCCTCTTCATCTTCCACACCTGCACCCCCCTGCAGGAGGCAGAGCCTCCCAACAGCCTCCATCAGTGTAACTTACAGCAAACTAACTCACAAAGAGGAACACTCACTTGAGTGGTCTTTACCACAGGAAGTGACATTACAGAGGAGGGGCTCCAGCAGGGAGAAGATGACGATGATGTCACAGAGGAAAGAGGAGGAGTCAAAGCACAGCATCATGTGATCAAAATCAGCCTAAAGATGAGGATGAACTGTAGCAATAAGGAGTCTTCCAGCTGAGTGAGGACACAAAGAGTCAGTTTTATTAAACTCCCATGTCTGGATGGGGGAGGGGCCTGGTTCCTAGTACCTGCTGCTAAACACACAACTTTGATATGTTTTATTGATTTACTTCCTAAAGTCTGATGAGTTCAGGAGAGCACTGCAGCCACCATAGAAAAAAATCTCTCCTTAAGTAACCATAACTAAAAAATATATCTCTAACTCCCCATAGCTAGCCAACTAACATATCTAAACATACCAATCCCTAGTTAACAATGGTCATAACCATCCCTAACCACCATAACTTATCCCATCTATCCCTAATTAACCACACTAACTGGTTAATCCAAACCATAGCCACTTCTGACTAACAACTAATTGTAACAATTCCTAATCAGATCTATTTCTTGGTGTTCCAAGTTGATCATAACAAACCAATCTTATCTTTAGCTACCTAGCCATAATATCCTGACATAACAACCCCTAACTATTCATAGCTAGCAACCCCACAACATCCAGAGCCTTAAGGAACTTTGGGTGAATCTCATCCACCCCCGGTGCCCTGCCACCGAGGAGCTTTTTAACCACCTCCGTGACCTCGGCACCAGAGTTTGGAGAGTCCGACCCAGGGTCCTCAGGCTCTGCTTCCTCATGGGAAGACGTGTCGGTGGGATTGAGGAGGACTTCGAAGTATTCTGCCCACCGACCCACAAAGTCCTGAGTTGAGGTAAACGTGTTGGTGGAGAAATGCTTTCCAATCCTGAGACGCTCTCCAGCACCCTCTCCAAGGACTCCAGAAAGGGTGGGTAATCTGAACTGCTGTTAGGCTCATAGGCACAAACAACAGTCAGGACCCGTCCCCCCACACGTAGGCAGAGGGAGGCTACCCTCTCATTCACCGGGATGAACCTCAACTTACAGGCATGGAGGGCAATAAGTATGCCCACTCCTGCTCGGTGCCTCTCAGCATGGGCTACTCCAGAGTGGAAGAGTGTCCAACCCCTCTGGAGGAGACTGGTTCCAGAGCGGTGTGTCGAGGTGAGTTCAACTATATCTAGTCTGAACCTCTCAACCTCACACACCAGCTCAGGCTCCTTCCCCACCAGAGAGGTGACATTCCACGTCCCAGAGCCAGCTTCTGTAGCCGAGGATCAGACCGCCAAGGTCCTCACCTTCGACCACTGCCCAGCACACATTGTACCTGACCCCTACGGCCCCTCCCACAGGTGGTRAGCCAATGGGAAGGGGGACCCATGTCTCCTCTTCGGAGGCCATAAAGTTCTGACCAACAAGTGTGTCTACAGCTACTTATCAGGGTGAAATAATCCAACCAACAATATCAACTAATGAACTCCACTCTGACCCAATGAAACAAATCAGTTATCTTATAAATAATTGTTTCCTCAGAAAGGTGAATCACGAAAATCTGCTAGTTCTCATTGGCTATTTAAGGTTCTAGCTGGAATAAGTGGAATGTCCATCTTTGGTGACTGCAGTGCACATCAGTGAAACAACTTTAGCCTTTTTACAGTGTCAGTCGTTAATCCCTGTTAGATTTATGTTTTTGTAAGATTTTAGAGAACTACTTCTCCTTGTATTAGTTTCTGGGATTGGTTAATCAGAAAGCACTTTTATTTGCTAGTTTAATCTGAGTCTTCATCAAAACAAACAAACAAACAAACAAACATAACAACTATATCTAAACTATACTGTCACTAATCTCAGGAGGTGCCACAGATGCACCTCCATCCCAGATAGCAAAAGATGTTCATTCAATGTTGAATTATGGTCAAAAAGTTGATTTTTGGTTAAGGCTGATGATTGATGGTGAATCAACCATCAAACAGTCATCCAATTCTAACTATTAACCAATGCTGAAAAGATGTTATTGAATCAATGCTGTTTCATGATCCAACTCTAATGATTGATGCCAATGTCGAGATTAGATTAGATTAGATTAGATTAGATTAGATTAGACCTTTATTGTCATCGTACAGAAAGCACAATGAAATTACAGTTCAGAACACCCATTCAGAAGAAGACAGAACATAACAAACAGAGGAGAACAGGTGCTCTGGGTCATGTAGCCACCCTGGATGACCCTGCACAGAACAAGGATCATCTTCATGAAGACATCAYGAGGAGGTGCTACCCTTAACAGAAAAACTAAAAACCACACAAGGGAAGATGAGGGGGAAAAACATCATATTATATCAACAAAGTGACACACTATGGTGTTTATAAAAAAACTCTGCATAGAGCAGATTTATTAGCCAGAGGAGTAAGTTGAGTTTAGGGGTGTGTGTATCTGAAACCATGAGTGTTGTGTGCACTTGTGTGAATATCTGAAGAATGAGGCCGAAGGATCCAGTCCCCAAAACCAGTGCAGCCATAGTCCAGAATATTGATGTTAACTGTTCATTCTGTGCGGCCCTCAGTTTGCTCCAGGAACCAGATCACAGACGGGTGTGAGGGGGGGAGGTGAGGGGCAGACCCTCAGTCGATGTATACATCCAGGAAAATTTCGTCTAACAGCTCAAGGCCATTGTAGGGGAGAGCCAGATTCTGTAATCAGTTGTTTGGGAACAGAAGAGCCAAGCAGACAATAACAATTTTCCATCTGCTTTAATGTCTGCTGGTACATCTCACTGTGGTGAATCCAATCAGACAAATAATGTGGACAATCCCGCCGAGCCGAACTCTCAGCTTCTCCAAGATCAAATCCATCTGACCAGCAAAGTCCAGGGACCACAGCCGGCCCGTGACCCTCACCAGAACCGCTTGCAGACTGAGTTCAGCTCGCTCAAGGCAAAAGTCCGAGTGCTGATAGGGTACGGCCATCCTTCATATCGGTCAGTCAACCGGAGATGAACAGCCACTGACGTTGTTCTGTAGACCACCAGGAGACCACCAAGTCAAACTGTAGAATCCAGTGATCAGAATCCAGATATATATCCAGAACAGAGAAGAACAGAGGTCCCACCTTTGATGTCCTCCCATGGAAGAAGAAAAAACTTTGTTCCAAATATTTATTAAGAGACCAGCTAACCAAATCCATAAAAATAAAAATATAATTTCTGGTTTCAGATGAAAACGTAGAGAAGGCTCCAGCAGCAAAGCAGGGAAGGGAAGGAAGGGCAGGAGAGAAGTCTTACTCCTCTGAGAGCATAAAAATAAATTTAAAAAATCACAGTGTTGGATCAACCTATGCTGTTTGTTGCACCCCTCCTCCTCCTCCTCCTCCT